GATGTATATAAATGAATACGTGAGTTGTCAAAAAAGGTAAGCCTCACTTTTATTATGTTGAAGATGAGCTTTTATACTAGGTAGTAAAAGGATATAATATTCCATAAAATATTCTATGAACCTGTTCATGTGTTGCTCAGCCTCCAATGACTCCTTTAGATCCTGAACCTGCTTGGTGATATTCATGACCCGTTCATTAGCTCTGATAACTTGCTAGATGAACCATGAGTTGTAAGCCTTTGCTAGGTTTACGAGAGGCTTGGAAAGGTTGGGGGTTCTCTTGTATCAATACGTGTACTATATCATCTTAATCTATTTTAAAGCAAGTACACCCTGGGATGGATCTTGAGGAGGATCCATTTATCGATTACCTCGAGGACTAGAACATCCCGATAGTGCTATAAGTACCTTTTAACGATGATCCTAACTCGCCACCTCGCCCTAATGCCTAGCCTGCTATCTTATACTATGTTAGTCTCTACTATGTCATCGAGTTTGTCTACCTGACTTGTTCCTTGTGCCTGTTTCTTGCAATGTAATTGAACTTGTTTATTCAATCGGTCTTATATCTTGATAGGTTGGAGTCTCATTTTGGATATACAAGCTTAACCAAGTGGATGTAATACTTTTTAAAGTAGTGAAGCTTTCTTACTTTAACTTGCAACACTAACATCAAATATAAATACACTTTACAACTGAAGCTAAAGATATGGTAGACTAATGCTTGACATTTAGGGGTGTAGTCTCTCTAACCTGATCTTGAGGGATGTCTTAGGGATAAAACTTCTTCAAGTTTGAAACGTGTCATGTCATTGATAGCACCACTACTTTTGTTGTCCCGAGGCGATAGGTTTCGTCTCAGATGATCTCAATGACTTGATATGACCCTTCCTAGTTTGACACTAGCTAACCCTTAGATCTAGTTGGGTCACTAACTTTAGCTTTCCAAGACACCAAGTCCCCTAGTCTAACTCCCCGAGGGCAAACATCTTAGTTATATAACTTGGCTACTGTATTTTTATATCTGGACGCTCTTAGGTGTGCTTCTACTATGACCTTGCTGATTAGGTCAAATCTAGCTTAAGGTTTTTTTTTTAAGATTTTCTCATCGAAATTCTTATCCTGATGTGTTGGAAAGATTATCTTGGGTAGCAAGTCAACCTCAATGTCGAAGGCTAAACTAAATAGTGATTCTCGCCACCCAGGTGTTGTCTGAGAGGCCCATAAGATACTTGATAGCTCATCCACCTAAGTATCTTTTGCTCTAACAACTTTCTTCTTTAACCCTTTGAGAATGGCTTGGTTGGTGACCTAAATGAGACTTTTGGTTTGAAGATGAGCTACCAAGCTAAACCTTAATCGAACTCCATATGATTAATATAACTTTTTGAATTTTAAATTATTGAATTGAGTTCCTAATGATGACTCTCGAAATTTTAAAGCAGGTGATGATATTCTTCATACAAATCTCTCAACTTGCTTCTTGGTGATCGACGCTAATAGCCAACTTCGAATCATTTTGTAAAATAATCAACTCTAACAATGAAAAACCTCTGTTAGCCCGAGGCTGGTAGAAAGACTTCGAGACCGTCCATACCCCCCTAAGCGAAGAGTCATGTATAATCGATCAAAGTCAAAGAAACTGATGGTTAATATTGTATCCGTGCAAACGTATGACACTTGGAGTATCTTTGGGCACAGGTTATTGCATCTTTGCATAGCATTGGCCTGTAGAACCTTGCAAAGTACTTTGAAGGTGAGGGATCGTCCACCAACGTGTTCTTCATAAATATCCTCATGCACCTCGGCGAGCATCATCTCAGCCTTTTAGGATGTCAGGCATCTAAAAAATGATTCACTAAAAGACCTACAATATAAATAATCGTTAATTATACAATACCATGTTGAAAAATGCTTGACTTCTTGGGTCTATATAGGGTCTATTGGGAGCATTCCATCTTTTTCGTCGCATAAGATCTCGCTGATCTAGCTCGACTTTTCTCGGACTATAGCCATGTTGTGCTTCTTAATGGTTTGGATTGGCAGTGTATCGACCAATAGCTAACCCTCCTTTGGGGCTTGGATCAATACTAATCTAACAAGCGTATAGGCTTGAGCATTCTCTTAATAGGAAATATATAATATATTAAGTCGAGAAAGGTTGTGGGTTAATCTCTGCACCTCGATGAGGTACTTTGCTATGGTTTCACCTCAGGCTTCTTAGTTCTCCTTCACTTAGTTCACAACTAGCTACAAGTCATTGAACATTGTCTTTATCTTGGACTTAAAGCTCTCGGGTGAGCCAAAGCCTCAAGAGAAGTCCCTTATACCCAGCTTCATTATTTAAGATTTTGAACTCCAATAGAAGCTTGCTTGTACACTTATTTGTTCGGGCCTTTTAGGATGAGTTCGACATTACTCCCATTTGAGATAATAGAACCATCTATGAATAGTCCATATTAGTGGGTTATAGTTATCGACCTCGGGCAAAGAGTTAGTTTTGAGATAAAGTCTACTAGCACCTAGGCCTTTATGGTAATCCTTGGAATATATCGGATGTTGAATTCATCCAACTCTACTGACCATCTCAATAGTTGACCCAAGATAGCAAACCAAAAGAGGACTTGTCCAAATGGCTAGTCGATGATCAACTACATAGTTTGCTCTTAAAAAAATGGGCGAAGCATCTTTATCGCTAATATTAACACAAATGTAAGTCTTTCGATAGAGGGGTATCGTTCCTCGGGTTCGCTTAGAATGTGGTTGACATAGTATATTAGCTTTTGAACTCCTGAATCATCCTGTACCAATATCGAGCTAACTGCTAGGCCGATGGCAACGAGATAGAGGCATAAGCTTCACTTGAGGAAGAGGAGGTGAGCTATGACAACTGCGTGAGATAGTCCTTCAGCTTTTTGAAGTTTGCTAGCACTGCCATCGAATGTCTCCAATGACAAGAGGGGTAAAAGTTTGCTGAAATTGGTTAGATTTTTTTGGTGAATGGCAATCGACTTGAGGTGGGGTTCACCAGCATTTCCCCTTTGGATTGTTGGAACTCTCATCACATGTTCTTCAAACATTGATCCATCCACCGTAATTAGATCCATACGAAATCCTCTATCAAATCTACCAACTATGTCTCAAATTTAGATACGGTAGACTAATAGTGTGGTCAACTGAATTTTATGATAGGGGAGCAAAGTGCCTTCTCGGCTAGTAGTTCGACGAGTCTTGGGTGCTTTTGAGATGTCAACATCATATCCAGTTGGGGAATCTCGATGGGTGTCGGTGTTGGTGGCAATTAATCCAATGATCACGGTTGAGCTAGTGGCATCGCCTAATGACTATTTGGAGCAAAAGTGGAGTGACAGACCGTGTCATACTCGTTAGTGTCTACACTTGTTAGGTGAGATTTAAGAACACATCGATAGGGATAAGTATGTGACTTAGGGTCATCCCTGGGGATGAGAGGCCCTAGTTGTTGAATAGATGCTAGTATCACATCACTATTTTTGTGCGCGAGGTGGATGCATCAATGTGCGAAAATTATGACTATTGCCCCATTGAGTGACAGTATTATGGATCGAGGGCAAAGCCTCATTGCCTAAGCATTCATTAAGAGGGTCAACATATGAGCATTCATACAACATCAGACCCTCTTTCTAGTAAAAAAAATATTTAGGAAATAAATCATTAATGTCTTGGTCAACCCGACGTGATCCAGACCCATATGCATAACGTTGTCCGAGATGCCTCCAAGGTTGAAACGCTAAGCTCTCGGGGTGTCACCTACATGAAGACCGAGGTCAAAAGAGGTTTCCCACCTTATCTCTCCGACGCCCAAGTTAATAACCCAAGTTATATAAGTGCGAACGTGAGTAGTTAAAAGAGATAAGTCATTCTTTTAGTGTGTTACAGATGATTTTTTATACCCGATATTCTACAAGGAGATAATCTCTAACCACCTTCAACAATCTCTCATTGGACTCTAATCAAAGTGGGAGACAAAAGGAGAGGGTAGCCCATAATCACTTATCTTAAATCCTTACTCACATCGATAGATCGATAAAGAATGATGTCTCAAGAACGAATAAGATTAAATCGGTAAGCATCCTACTTATGATTTGGTTGAAAAATAGGTCCAATTAATTATCTAAGATATTGAGGCCATCTTTTCATTTGGTATGGGCGTAAAAGAATAATGTGCACCATTTAATTATTTATACTTGTTAAAGTATAAATCGTTCTTAGTATAATGCTCCATCAATTTATTTTAAAAACCTATTTTAAATCGAGACATCCGATTCGTTCCTATGCTATTGCATAAGGGATAGAGTTAAGATTTAAACCCACACATGAGATATTTAATTTATCGATCTGCTATTAATGATAGATCTTAAGTCCGAATCTATGAATAAGTATCATATATATATCATTTAATGCAATAATTTATTTATTAAAAAATTACTTTAAAATTATTTGCCAGACGCCAAAACAAAATAACCTAATAAAAAAATCAACGAAAAATGACATTAATTGGGTTTACCAATCTCAGTTCTATAGAGTGGAGTTCACCTCCTCATCATTTGATGATTGATGACGATGCAATGGATTTATAATATAGATCATGTCATGAAGAAACCTTAACGGTTAAGTGATGTGAACCAGATGAGATTGGCCGGTGGGTCGAAAGCCGTCGTCTCTCTTCGTCTTCACAATGACCTGAGTCAGGCAGCAAAGATAAGAAATGATCTGTTTCAGTAGTATCAGCATCATCATCCATCAATCTCTACTGTGTCTGATGGCCAGCCCTTAAAACCAGTGCATGAATGTGCAATATCATTAGTAACCAATACAGCCAAGCAGACTGGTAGAGCTAATAAAAAGCCAATAGTCACACAGCTCATGGTGGACTCTCCTGTCAACAATCTTTCCATTACCAAACATAATTCACCATCAAGAGGTCCAACTCACTGTGTTGATGTCCTTACTACCAGAGAGAAGTAAAAGAGAGGCCCTTTCAAAGATCTATTCCTGCTGGACCAATTGCTCAACCACCTTACAACTTATATATGATAAACAAGAAGATTCCAAGCAAGAAAAAGACTAATTACAGGAGCAGTCCACCAGCAGCCACTAGAAATCCTACAAGAGAGAAGGAAAGTGGATAGAAAATGACAAGTAAAGTACCATATGAAGAACCTATGCCCAGACAATAGTATGTGTGATGTGGAAATGCAGGAAAGAGGAACAAACAGCATGCACATATTGCTTAATCACAATAAATGATTTAAAAGAAAAACCACCATGGCTCCAGAGATGGGAGTCATGCTCTGAATGCAGGGCCCAAGAGCTAAGTTTTGGTCTATTCATCACCAGGAGGGTTCGGTACATTGACTGGGTCATACTGGCGAGAGGCCTGGTCATCACCATCGTCAATGCTTTGTGGGCTGCTCTGCTGGTCTTGGTAGGAAGATCCTCGGCTCGATTTTATGATCTCACTGATGCGGATCACCACCTCGGCCATACAAGGCCGTTTGTCTGGGAACCGTGCCACACATTCTATGGCAAGCTGCAGGAGCTGCACCATGTCCTCTTCCACACTCTGGTACCTCAGCAGCTCCACATCAAACACCTCTGCTGTCCACTCCTCTCTCACAACCGATTGGACCCATATTGGGAGGTCGATGCCTTCATCATTGAGTAGGGCCTGTGCCGGGGCCTTGCCCGTGAGCAGCTCAAGCAGGAGAACACCAAAGCTATAAACATCAGCCTTCTGAGAGACCTTTTGAGGGTCAGCAACTTCCGGGGCACGATATCCTGCAATCCGGGTCGTAGTGGAAGCTGAACCCATGAGAAGGGCAAGGCCATGATCGGACACACGGGCTTCATATGGTTTGGTGAGGAGGATGTTGGAGGATTTGATGTTGCCATGTGAGGATGAAGGGCCTGTCGAGTGAATATATTCGATGCCACGTGCTGCTGAAAGTCCAATTCCAATTCGTGTTACCCAGTTGAAAGACGTTCGACCAGATCCTCTGTTGCCTGCATGTTTTATCAACGAGAAACAGGATAGTCAGATTTATGTTGATGTTTTCCACGATTTCTATCAATGCTGAGAAATATCAGAACATTGCCCTAGTCCTAGAAGCGATAGGAAAATGGCCTTGTTGTACACAAGCAAAGATTCAATCAATTCTCAGCAAGCACAGCAAAACATCAACATTTAATTCTGATGATAACAGTGCTCCTCCGATGCAATGCAATGCATTTTACTAGCAAGAACCCCAATTACCAGATATAATGGTTTTGAATTCCCCTTCAAACTTCCAATATAATAGTACAAAACTACAACCAAAAAAATTTCTTTTTTAACATGTAATCCAATAATTGGTAGTAAGCCTATTTTAAACATAACCCAATTAGTACTTCAACCATATAATACTCTGTATGAAATTGAGAACGTCCAATGTCAACAAGTTCAGGTGAAAAAAGAAACAACTTTCTGAAATATTTTATACAATGAGAAAAAAGATAGTTCGAGGCAATGTCATTGCAGCTCCAGCATAATTGAAACTACTCATGACATACAATAAGCTTTTCTGATCAATTGTCTACATATTTATACCTTGAAAATGTATTGCATTTTTGCTCTAGCAAACTGAATATTAGGTATCACAGGAACCACAAAACTTGGAAATTAGTTGATTACGAGGGTATCGGACCTTAGCTATCATGGTTGGTAGTGCGTCTATATTGGATATAGACCCACCTAGTGCTCAACTGGAGCACCACTAAATATAAAAATTAGTATCATCTAAAGTTAACAGGATTAAATAAATAAAAAAACTTCAATCACAAGAAATGGGCTATTTGGGCCAAGGCAAATGCTGCATCAATGAAGAAGAACCTAATCCTGAGATTACCTACTCTTTCTTTTGCATTCGACGAACATTGTCTGTGTTAACTTCCTCAACAATGTACTAAATCTTCTCCCAAGCAACAGGAATATTAGACAATGTAATGATCACAAATCTTGGCAATTGCTTTACATGAGGGCAACAGAGCTTAGGAATTGTTAACAGAAGAAACATAAAAATGAAAATAAGTAGACATGAACAAGCAAGCAATTAGCAAGGGTTAAAGAAGCTTAATCAACAGCAGATGAAGATATGAATGCAACTGGCATCAAAGCTTAAATGAAAACATGTGATTCAAATTCATGGTATCAAGCTCAAGAACCATTCAATTCCAAGAAAAGAATATGAATTCTTGGTGGAAGGAAGAGGGAGGATTGCCATACCATGCAAGAGGGCGGAGAGGCTCCCCATTGGCACGTAATCATAGACGAGGAGCTTTTCATCCTTGCTGAAGTAGTATGCCATGAGGGGCACCACATTGGGGTGGTCCATCGCCCCGATGGCCTCCATCTTCTCCTTGAACTCCTGCTCCTGCAGATTCACGTCCTTGAGCCGCTTCACCGCCACCGTTATCCCAGTCTCGAGCACCGCCTTGTAAGTTGTCCCGAACGTGCCCTTCCCCAGCACCTCCGCCGACGCTCGCAGCAGATCCTCCAGGTCGAACCGCCTTGCCCCTCCCCGGCCGAAGAACACCAGTTTCTTATCCCCGGCAGCTGACGTCGCAGCCTTCACCGCTGCATCCACTGGAGTCGCCGCAGGGCCGTTGCCGTTTGTTCCTCGTTCCCCTGAACCCTTATCCCTCTGCTCTTGAGCAGCCGCCACCATCGCGATCTGCTTCCCGCCGCCCGCCGGCCGTTTCTTTCTCCGGCGGCAGACAAGTATCCGCACCACAAGCACGATGAGCAAGAAGGCTGCGGCACCAATTGCGAACCCGGCGATCGCCCCGCCGGAGAGCTTGTTCTTGTTCTTCTTCTTCTCGCTGTTATTCTCTGCCCCGCTGCCGGCATTCTCGGCGGCCGGCTCCTCCGCCGATGGAGACGGCGCGATCTCGCCCGGGCACGGCCCGAGGGGACCACCGCAGAGGCCCGTAGCCAGGAATGCGCTCGCCGGCTGAGAGCGGAGCCTAGCCGGGATCGATCCGTTGAGCTGGTTGTAAGACACGTTGAACCGGACGAGGTTGGAGAGATCGAGGTCCGGGATCCCGCCGGTGAGCTGGTTGTTGTCAAGAAACAGCGTCCCGAGCCGGGTGAGGTTGTTGAGCTCCAGTGGAATCCCGCCGGTGAACTGGTTGCCGGCGAGGTTGAGGCGGACGAGGTTCTTTAGGGAGGAGAGGAACCCCGGGATGTCCCCGGACAAGCGGTTTCCTTGCAGGTAGAGGTTCCGGAGCGCATCGAGGCTGGCGAGCTCCGGCGGCAGGGGCCCGGAGAGGGCGTTGAAGCGGAGGCTGAGGGTTCGGAGGGAAGTGAGATTGCCGACAGCGGCGGGGATACGGCCAATGAGGCCGGCGCCGGGGAGGCGGAGACAGCCGACGCGGCCGGACTCGCAGGCGACGCCCTGCCACGAGCAGGGCGCACCGGGAGAGTTGGCGTTCCAAGACGGCAGCGCCAACCGGCCAACGCTGTCGCGGAAGGCGAGGAGGGCGGCCGTGTCGGAGCCCAGGTCGGTGGCGCCGCCGGGGTGGGAGGTTAGCAAGAGGACGGCGCCGGCAAGAAGGAGAAGGAGCGGCGAAGCCATGCGGGCCGGTGACCCTACTCGCTGCAACCTCACACACTGTTACAATACTGTAGTACTTCCGGCGCAGAAGAACTACAACAAACACACGATGCACACGGAAACACCTCTTACATTGTTACTCATCGAAAGGAAGAGAGAGAGGAGTCTAAAGCCCTTGTTCTAGTGGTTAGCCGAAATCATATAAATGAAGCAAGGGAGAAGGGGAAATAACAACAGGACACCCAATCTCTCTCTCTCTCTCTCTCTCTCTCTCTCATCTTAAGGTTTTATTACGGTAATAAAACCGTATTGCAAGTTTCTTACACTTAACTATTTTCTAATTTGGAATTTTCACTTAATTTAATCCGGATTTTTCTGCACATGAAAAACAGAGCAAATTAGATTTTATGTGTTATTTAGTAGGCGGCGGTGCACTTTTACGGGGCCAACGTACCGCACTGAGAACAGCTTTGTTGCCCCGCAGGGGTTGGGTCCCATTTCGGGCTCTGCCATCAGTGCCCCGGTAAAGGAATCAGGTAGGACTGGCGAGTTCGGCATGCGGACCGTTGAGAGAGAGCGGCAAATGGGAAGGCATGCGTATCGGATGGTGTTTTTGAACTTTCTAGAAACATCTAGTCCTCCTGCGGACCTCGATCGATTGCCAATCGTCGGATCGAGCGACGGGAGCATGCACCATCGGATGGCGATCTGACGGCTGCGAGCGAGTGGTGGGGGGGCAGAACGACGCATCGCAGGGGCCGGGCCCCACCAATCCAGTGGGGGGTGTCCTTCCCACGTACCTGTAGGAAATCTTGAAGACGTACCGGCCAACAACTTCAAATCTTCGTGGTGGTAGGAATAACATCATAATCTTATGCAAAGATGGTGTTTAGGTGGGGAGAGATGCAAAGAATTGAAAGTGTATACAGGATGGAGAAGAAGTACCTGTTGCATTATGACGCAAGAAGATGGGACTGCCTACACTGTGATCAAGATCATTCATCATACATGCGCTTGGTCTGTTCAGTGCATAGCCCTAATCCAAAAGTGACCAGTAAACATTGCAGAGGTTTCAGGTGATGATGGGAGGGAGGCAAATTATCCACTTTGATCTCAGCAGAAGACACGAATTGCTGCAACTATGGACTTAGCACCTCAAAACAAATCTGTCAGTAAATTCTGCATCTAAAATAATTTGACCAGCTCCAATAAACATAAGAAGGTCAAGATATTGTGTCTCCTGCATGCCAGACACTGCTTTCAGTGAGCTACAATGCCCGAGTCAGTAACAGCCGTCAGTGATTTAAATAGCTAAGCATGTAAGAAATTTCCATGAAGCCAACTTGTGTTTCTAAATCATTGTAATAGAAACACAATAAAACTAATACGGAAACGAAATAGCGTACCTCCAGCCATTGTCGCCAAGAATTTCTACAGAGGTTTCTTCTTGAACTTTGGTTATTCTCGGCTCAGAACTCTCGCTTTAGATGGTGTAGGAAAGCCTTTCGCTTCAAAGAGATGATTGAGCCAAGGGACCAAAATCCTCATGTATATATAGATGTTCCCCCATCAAGAACATTTATCATCACCAACTCATAACGTTCAAGAATTAATTCAAATTTATAATATTTGAACCATAATGAAGAACTTAATGATATTAAATATTTAATTTAATAATAACGGTTTCATACATAAAGAATAAGAAACTGAAATCATTTAAACCATAATAAATGAAAAAATTCATGATAATGAATTATGAATCTTAATAAGAACGGTTACGTTATTATTAAATAAGATATTTAATAATAACCGTTACAAAGCACTCTTTCAACATCCAAGAGATCAGAACTGGCAGAGCAAACATGAGAGCATTAACTAAAAATCACCAACTATCAAGGACTAACATCTAACCATCATCAACCACGGACTCCCAGTATTACCAGTCATGTCAAAAACTACACCTGCACAGAAATCCAATTCGAAAACCCTGCAAGAGTCATAAAAAGCAAGAAAACCTCTGTCAAGAAAGGGAGAAGAAATACATCAAAGAGGTGTAACAGAGATCGCACCGACCACCCGCAAATCCTACTTTCCAGTTCAATTATTCAAGAACCACAGCAGGAAGGAAGATGCTCAAGAGCCATGGACACACAGTATCAGCAATCTCCAGCTACTACAGCTTCATGATAGAGACAGCTCAGTCTCGTGGTGCACCGAGTAGATGGGCAGTCCCGCACAATATCTCCAAGATCTAAAGAATCTACAAGAAGGCTTATCTTAAACAATGGATTGTTCCATCTTAGTCTATGCTTTACAAGAGTCACAGAAAGAGAGAGTCTACGACAAGGCATGTTAAAGCTTGCAAAGAACGGCATTTGTTTTCAAGGAAGAAGACAAATGACAACCGGAAACACGCCATAGAAGAGTGTCTTTACAAAGCAGAATCCCACCAAGCAAGCAACTCACCAACACTAGACTAACTACAATACCACTTTATATCTATTCTCTCCCTCTCTCTCACACAACACCAACAAAATTAGCTATCTGAGACATACCATGTTTCAAGACCACTTTAAAATACGCAGCTTTGGTGATCCAAGTATTAAGAGAGAGACGGCGAGAAGCGATCATCCGCCGTTGACAAGGCTGTTGACGAGGGCAAGGGCGTTGCTCGTGTACTGAATAACCCTCCCGACCCGCCGGCACACGTCGGTCCTGATGGAGCTCGTGCCGCCGCCGCCCATCTCGCGGAAGCCATCGGAGCATGTGTCCTCGTTGGTCAGGGCGGCGCTCATCCACGTCTGGGCGTTGGAGACTCGCCACGCTACCTCCATCCCAACCAGGGCCTCCAGGCCCCTCAGCTCGGCGGCGGTCCGACCCACCTGGTCGGCGGCGTCGCCCAGCTGCTCGGCGCAGTCACGCAGCGCCGCCGCCTCGCGCCCGGCCGCGCCTGCTCCGGCGCGGCGGAGGGCGGAGACGTGGGCGCGGAGGGCACGGAGGCGGGTGAGGGTGACGTTGGTGGCGAGCCGGGCGAGCTGGACGGGGCTCCGCCGGACGGCCGACGCGTAGGAGGAAAGCGAAGTGAAACAGAGGTCGGGGTAACGGGTGAGGACGCAGCGAGCGCGGATGAACTCGGTGGCGTTCTCATCGGGGCTCATCGGCGCCAAGTCCGGCGGCGGCACCGACGTGCATGCCACGAGGGGAAGGAAAAGGAAGAAGAACAAGAAGAAAAGGCTATTCGGAAGCATGTCTAGTGCTTCGCGTGGGTGGCGTTGGAAGTAGAGAGCGAGGGCGAGGGATTTAAACGGGGCCGATGTGACGCGATCTCAAGGTTAACGAGACCATGAGTTTGCCACGCTAATCTCCCTGAAATCACGGGAATGCCACCCAACGTGGGATGCAAGGTTGTGTGTTGGACGGTTAACGGGCACGTAGGGCCCGTCCCCTTCTCAACCGCAATCATAAATGCTTTAAGATCAACACGAGTACTGATGCCCTTATGATTCAGATGGTCACGATCTTGTACGCTTCATGGCCTTCCATCCATGGAAGAAGATGGAACTATGCCTCGAGATTCGAACAGCACGAAGAGAGAAGGTTCTGGTGCGGTCAGCGGAAATCTACAACGCCATCTTGTGGCAGTGTAAAATTGGCATCGAAGGGAATGAGGAGACACGTGAGATGCATGGGGAAAGCTGCAACGAGAACAGGAGGAATACTTAAAAAGAATGGAGAGGAGGAGGGCAGAATTAGAAGGCACATGCATGGAGGTACGTAGGGACAGGGAGGAGGTTCCTGAGACAAAGGGGGCGCAGGGGCTACTGCGCTGTTGTAGGAGTGCCTAACGATTCGGTGCAAATACTGTCAAGAAACTACAGGGATGAGTAATACCAAGAAAGAATAGTGAAAATATGATTTATATTCAAATTGGGATAATACCATGCTAGAATGTTGACTCAAACCTAGATGTTATAGGGACAACAAAGATAAGCGTAATCCATTTCATAAAGAGACTAGATTTGTTCATGCATCAAGCCAAATCCGAGCCACATGGTTGGACAACGAGGCCATTATTAGATGCAAGCATTAATGAGCAAAGCCCGACTCATTGATTACGATAGACAAACCTGCCTACAGGTAAATTAGAAACAAGGCATCTACTGCTTTGTTCAAGAATAGTTTATCTTATACTGCCCGTTCAAGGAGAACTAATTTATTGGTATATAATTCTAATTTGATCTCTTCCAAAGAAGTTAAATTTGACGACTCAAAACCCTGTTTCCCCACATTTCCTTTGTTTTCTTCTATCACACCTTGCTACTTTGCTTTTATTAATCGAATCAAGAATATCAAGAGGATATTCTACTGTTCAAACGTATATGTGATTCTACTATATTCAAATGATATATGCTCTCTTTTCATTCGGTCCAAATCGAACCGAACCAAGTTAGAATCGGAATCAAATCGAACCGACTCAAAACCACTGGTTTGAGTCCAAATGGATCATTATAGTTTCAAATCGATTAAAATTGATAAAAAAATATAAATAAGAATCCTTAAGTTTAAAGCCAAGTCTTTCAGTAATTGGTTGCTATGGTGTTTTGGGATGATAATTCTGAAGGTATGCTTTCAAAATTTTCTCATCCAAAGAGAATTCTATTTCTTTTCTCTGTATCTCATCTTTGCCTTGTTGAAGGGGAATCTACCTGAATTGAACACAATTATTCTGGGATGATTCAGACTACTAAATTTAATGGAGAAATTTTCTGATTGAAATCCAAAATATTTAACAACATAAAACCTCCAACAAGGAAATTAAATTGAAACTACTACCTACCTATCGATTCTCACAGTTCACAAGCCAGAAGAGATCTGGGAAGAACACGCTTGAGACTTTGATTACAGGCTTGCGCAATCGTAAAAGACCAAAAGAATCAGAGAGCAGAAGCTGACGTGACAGAGAAGTCCTCGAGAGATTGATGATGGCATGAAGAAGTAGGAATGCCACGGCGATTACGGCATATGAAAACAGAGATCCATTAAAAAAGTGGAACAATTAGTTGCTATAAATATGAAGGATCGATTTAGAAGAACGAAAAAGGAGAAGAAGGATCAGTATCTATCGGGAAAGCCCTAAAACAGGAATAGGGTTTGAACACATCGATCGCGAAAGACCAGTAATCGATTTGACATCATTCGAAATAGAAGGAAGAATTGCTATTTCGTACCATGATCGATCGCTAGACTGCGAAGGACTCCAGCAGCTGGAAGCGGCGATCGGTGCGACCTCCCGGATTCCGGCGTCAGGCGAGTGGAGAGAAGAAGCCAAGGACGGGCAAGAGAGCGCGATTCGCCGACTTTTAAAGTAACCCGCGCATTAACCTATGCACGTGCCACACACGGGCATTTCGATGGATAAATAGACGCTATATTTGTCAAATCACTTAAAAAAAGGTAATACAGTAATAAAAATATTTTCATTATTAATGTATTAATTGATTGAGATGATATTGATGGATTGTCTATTTTACATATTCCTACACTAAAAATATTAGATGATTGCTATAAATGACTTGGCAATGAAGCAACATAGAGAGCAAACAACAGACTATGGCGATGAAACAATTTGCTAGCTTGTGTGTGTGTCAAACATAATATATGCCCATGATATCAGAATATGTAATAAAAATAAATAGAGATGTCTCTAGCACAATCTTTCTGAGCATTCCATGAACATTATCAGCTCCATTAGGAAGAGGACCAGCAGTAGCAGGTCACACCAAAAAAATTCAATAATATTATTGCTGCAAAAATAGTATGTTGAGAAGTTTCTGATGCAACTTCGAGTAATTCTTTGCAATCACACAAAGAATCTGTGCAAGTGCAACTACATCTTTGGGGTATATGTATCCAAGTAAAAGGATTCATATCTGTGTAAATATCTTGTTTTGTGTTATGTATGAGATCTTGAAGGCATAAAACCACAAATGACAGTGCCATTAATCACAATAAACTCCACAGATATGATAGAGCAACAAGAAGTACAAATACCAAAATAGCTCATCAAGGGATAAGTATCACGAGAATTAAAACTGTTCTAAGAGCGATATAGTTGTCCCCTGGAACACTTACATTCTTCGGTGGTCTCATGCAATTTTCTTAGCATCAGAGAATGACAATCGGTTGTCAATCGAATTCAACTGGTTCCGAAGGTTCTGGTTGTCCTCCAAAAGACGGTCATATTCAAGAAGCAAATCTTCAGATTGCTTTTTCAGAGCTGCCGCCCTTGCTTCTGCAGCTTTTGCTTCCTGCAGTCTGTCTTCTGACTCTGATTTTAACTGTTTTATTTGTTCATTTAGACTTGCAATCATTCCGTCCAGTGCTTTTACCTCACTTGAACCCCCAGTTTTTGCTTCTTCCAAAACCCTGTTTTGCTTTAGAACAGCCTCCATGCTCTTTCTTAGCCCACGCAATTCTCTGACGTAATGGTGAAGACGGTCAATTATTAGTGCAAGGAAAAGGGAATAACCTGAAAAATGTGGGTGAGACTTAGCATCCAGACAAGCAATTGTTTTATAAAGATTTCACAATTTAAAGTAGAGGACAAGGTTCTTTGCAATTAAGAACAGAGTACTTCAGAAATCACCATGAGATGCAAGTTTGCAGAATTATCCATAGTTACATACAATGTTTAGACTAGACGTTGGATACCTAAAAAGAAAAGAATAACAATTCCACCGGATCTACCATTACTTTAAGTAATGAATTTAAGTAAATAGCTGTGTGATGCCTATCATAAGCAGTCAAGAAAGCATAATTCCAAATGATCTCACAGACATCTATAGCAAAAAAAAGCAAGAACAATCAGAAGGGCACAGATGTCATGCCCACAAAACCTTATGCAAATTTCGAGGCAATAGCAGCCACCAACCCTGTAAATATTATAATATCAGGTTTTTCCCATCAAAATGTGAATATATATATGTGACATCCTTCAAAACTTTTAAGTATCTCTTCGCGGTTATATAGGGCAAAATATGACAATTAATACATAACATCGAAAAAATGTTGATATTAATAATACATTTGTGAGTTCAGAGGGATATCCTATGCATTTTCATTTCTCAATGGCAAAAATAAAAGTAGAGTCATTTACAAGGTAAACATGAAATATCGCCACAGAAATAATAGATTGCGCCTTAAACTTTATGCATGTCTCATATTGCCACAGAAAAATTAAAAACATTGCTACAAATATCAATCAACATAGCCACCTTACTAGATGAGATGTAAGATTGTGTTGCTTTTACAGTGAAAGTTTCTTTTGACACCAAAGGTATCTGTTCAATCATGGATATTGATATTTCCCTTAATATATTGAGCATATCTTTACAATGCATAATTTCAATTAAAATTATCAAGAGGCAGCATGTGACAACTAAATTTTAAGATGCAAACTATGATATATTTGTCTATCCACCTTGTTCTGCAAAAGAATATGGTGGATATTCGTGACACCTTCCAGCATTATCATTGGCTTAGATTTCTGCTACGTGAGATGCCACCCCTTCTACTTGGCCATCAACCAAGAAATAAAAACAGCTTCACTATCTTCATCCATTATTCAACATAACAATGTAACTAATGCCTCCTACGCACCAGCATACTTGTACTAGTCGGGAGTAAAAATCCAGCAATAAGACAAAAAAGATTTTACACCTTTTTCATTCCAGTCAAGAGAGAAATCTAGCTTTTTTGCCTTATGTTTCTTCATTCCTTTCAACCAGTTTACATAATGTTATGTGATTCAATTGGTAACTATAACTTATTCATTTAACATAATTCTTTGAATTCAAGCTGGACTAAGAAACCTGTTGTGGATTTATACTATCAATTCTCTCCCCCACAACGCTCCATTTGCAATTGACAAGATCAAAGAGGTTTCAAATTCAAGATTTTAGTGCTCTCTCAATGGGCATGGATGCTAAAACTTACTAAGAGAATGGTGTTCAAGTTCAAGAAGTCAGAGCTTTAGCTAGCACTATAATTTCTTTTAATCTATAATATTATGAGAACCATTCCTATATACATTGTTCTTTCTTTTTATTATTTTACCATAGAAGAATCATATCATTGTATGTTGCCTAGAGTTATGAAACTCTTGTTAAAAACATAAAATTGTAACAAAATATCAAGTATAAATGAATAATTAAAAAAATTCCAAAAGATAAGTTATCAATAACTATGTCCTTATGATGGACCTTTGGAAAGAGTTGCAACAATACTCAGGCTGTCAGACTTGATCAGTGGGCTCCTACCAAGCAAGTCAAATTACAGCCAACAATGGAGATGTAGTTTTGGCAGCCATGGGATAAATTTTCTGATTCGATAAATAGTCAAAATTTGGGCTCCCTAGAGATAACAACAACAACACCGTATGTCTTAACTATTTGAGGATGACTACATGGATTTTTTGCCACCATTGAGATATATACAAAGTCATATGCTTAGTTAAGTTCAGAATACTTAAATCTTTATTCATTGTTTTTATTAAAGTCTTTTTAGATCTTTTTCTATCTCTTCTTATACCATTAACATTAATCATTTCATCTCTTCTGACTACCATATCCGAATGTCTCCTAAGCATATATCTATACCATCTTAAACAATTTTCTCTCGTCTTATCTTCTATCGAAGCGATACCTAGTTATTCACGAATAACAATATTTTTTTTTATCTTTCCTAGTAATTGCTTTAGGTATCTTGGATCAATTACTCAATAAGATGAAGAGATCAATGAATATATTATTCATAAAGTAAAAACGGGATAATTAAGATGACGAGAGGGGTCAACGGTCTTATATGATCATTTGATACATTTGAGATTAAACGAAAAATTTTATAAGATAGTTGTGAGATCAACAATGATTCATGGGACTGAGTGTTGGACAATTAAGAAAAAACATATACAAAAATATTTTACTATCGAGATAACAATGTTGAAATGAATGTGTGGAGTTACTAGGAAAGATAAAAAAAATATTTTTATTTATAAATAACTAGATATCGCTTCGATAAAAAATAACATGAGAGAAAATCATTTAAGATGGTATAAGCATATGCTGATAAGACATCCAGATGCGATAATCAGAAGAGGTGAAATAATTAATATTAGTGATACGAAATAAGGTAGAAGAAGACCTAAAAAGACTTTAATAGATACTATAAATAAATATTTAAGTACCATAAACTTAACTAAGCATATGACTTATTATAGATCTCAATGGCGGCAAAAGATCCATATAACCAACTCTAAATAGTTGGGATTTATAGCTTTATTATTGTTGTTATTGTTGTTGTTGTATTTTTTTCTAATAACTCCACAGATCCATCTCAATATTCTCATCTCAGCAACACAAACTTTTTGCATATCCTATTTCTTAACTGCCTAACACTCATATCCATAAAGCCTTACTGGTCTCACAACGATCTTATAAAATGTTCATCTCATATCCATAAAGCCTTACTGGTCTCACAACGATCTTATAAAATTTTCATTTTAATCTCAAAGGTATCTGATGATCATACAAGACTCCCGAGACCCTTCGCTATTTCAACTATTCTGTTTTTATTCTATAAATAATATCTTCATCGTTCTCTTTATTTTGTTGAATAATTGATTCAAGATACTTAAAGCTTTTACTTGAATAAACATCTTGTCCATCCAACTTAACTATATTCTCCTATTTATTTACAAAATTACTAAAATTGCATCTCATATATTCAATCTTAATCCTTATTAATCTAAAACCTTTAGTTTATAAAGATTACCTCCATAGCTCATATTTATAATTAATTTCACTTAAGCTCTTATCAGCTAAAGCAATATCATCCGCAAATAACATACACCAAGGAGGTCTATCATATAAGTGACTAGTAAGTTCATCCATAATTAATTTCATACAAAACTCTCAAGAGACGAAGAACTTCAATTTAGGCTAACCTTTAAAGTGTCTAATCTTTCAACATTTTCGTCTGCCCATTCAATCTTGATTTTTTACTAGTATGAATCCCACGGTGATGGTGAAGCTACCAATAATCCCATATCCCCTGACATTTTAGAATCTGTCATTCTTAGTGCCACTCAGTTTGACGATGGCATACATGACAGGGATCACCTACATGTTCTACTCTAATGTCCACCATGCTCTTTGTCCTCCCTTCACCTTCTAATTTTCTACTATCCATATATACATCATATTTTGTAAGAATTATCTATCATGTATCCAATGTTATCTTTTAATTTTTATTACTGTTATGGTTATCAACGCCGTATACAAAAACATCAGATATAAGATCCATAATGATGCAAATTACCAAGGGAAAAGCAATTTGACAGGTCAAAGATATCTATTTCCAAACGGATCGTCGGCAATCATAACAACCTTCCCAAGCCATTCCAAATGCATGATGAATAGAATAAACCCTAACCACAGAAGAAGAAAGATCTAGATGAAACAAGCAAGGGCGAGACTCTAGAGTGGATACCCATGAGGGAAGCTTCGAGTAGGTGGCGGCTCATGAGGACCTGATCGGTGGGCGTGAGGGCACCGAGTTCGGCCGAGCCGCTGCTGATCTTGGCGATGCTGTAAAGACTGGAGGCGAGGACGACGAGGACGGTGCCGGCGACGGTCTTCACCATGACGGGGCCGCGGCCGCGCTTGAGGCGGTCGAGGCCGACAACAACGAGCTTGCGAAGAGGGGTCTTGAACAGCAGCGTCACTGCCACCGCAACCTCCGCCGACAGCACTGCGAACAGCAACTGGATCATCTTGCTCCTCCCCCGATCACGAAAAAGAGAAGGCGACGATGCCGATCAAAGCCTGTAGAGGATTGATTCGATGGCTTCGAGGCCTCGATCGAAGGATAATGTATACGAGTGCGAAAACGGAGGGCAGAGAACGAATGATCGGCGATCGGATTCGCTGGGCGTAACGGGAAGTGGAATTTTTGGACCGTCAATTTCTTCCCCTAATTTGTTCTTCGGGCAACCAACTTCGCGGCGTCTCTACGCGTCCCGTTATTGGGAGACCCCACGTGAGACCACGCGGGCGTTACAACGGGTAAGCGACGAATGCGCGTTGAGCGACACGTTCCGGGGCCAACAGGCCGATCGATGCGAGCGGGGACGACGCGACACGTGGTTTCATCGGGCGCACGACTCCTTCGAGTCAACATGAATTCTGCAAGTCTTTTCCCACTTGATCAAAGACAAAGATGAGATCTATATCAGCTGCAACACGAATCTTGTCGTCATGTACGCCCATCTCTCACCACCGGCTGTGAAACGGGGGCTCTCATCCCCAATCCACCCTCTGCATCGTCTCTGCAACATACACCATGAGGGTTAAATATAGTTCTAAGTCTTATCATGGGGATACAATGTAATCGTAGCTGTTAGTATTACTATGAGTATTTGTTTGACATATACTCCTAGCTATAATTGTATTTATCATAAATTTAGGCAATGCATCTTTAGCTATATTTATTTAGATTATGAATAACTAATCATGATCATTTGTATGAATATGATATTTATCTTGATATATCATTTAGCTATAATTGTGGCTTTGATTACTCTAAAATGAATATAATAAGAATGATTGATTTGACATATGATATTTTTCGCTAAATTGATTGTGAAAAATATTTATAATATTTATTTTTATATATTTGAAAAAAATATATATTATTATTATTTAGAACTCTATTTATTTTGGACTTATATGATATTAGTGTGAAATATTATTTTGGATCCATTATAGTGATATTTTAATTATGTAAATATAATGGTGTTAACTGTAATATGATACAGAATATTTGATGATTATACAGTGGTTATATGATTGCAAACAATTTGTTAGACTTTGTAAGGATTATGTCGTTTATTCAGGTTTTGATCATACGATTTCTGTGATTGAATTATTTATGAATTGAAAAAAGAATAAATATCATGTGGAAGTGAATTATCTGTCTATATTTTAATATTATATTCTTATAATAAGATTATGACGTTGTACCAACCCAGCCTTCGGGCATTGCACCCCGTCACCAGCAAGACGGAACTGCAAGATAAGGAGCGGTGGTGGGGCGACGGAAAGAAGTGGCGGCCCTTCTGTCGGCAGAGTCTGTGGCTGTAGGCGTAGGGTTCGTCCATGTTCAGGCGGAAGTCGTCCAAGCTGGTGACGCAGCTTCGGCGAGTTCGCCTAAGATTGTTACTTCGTCTGGTAACTCTGAAGTGGCACCAGCGCCTGTTCCGGAAAAGGCTCCAGTTGGGGAGCTCTGCCATGATGCCGAGATCGCTGAGGTGACTCTGCTTCGTCCTGCAGCTTACCATGTGCTTCATGATGATGCTGTTTAACAGATAAGCTAATCGACTTCTGGGAATTACTAGATGGATTCGTACAAGAGTCGAGCTTCACGATGCATGGGACTGCTGTGGACTGATCGAAGCTTTCACAAGTTGCAAAGCTAAGTTCAGGTCAGCACGATCCATCGATGATTTAGGTAACCAGGTGTGTGATTCTTAATCACTCTTAGTTCAATCTCGATAACATATTGGATCAACTGTGAAATCAACTGGGAAAAGATTGAATTGTAAAAGGATCTGCCTATTCGAGAGACTGTGATGGTGCATGCAGTTTTCAACATCCACAGTGTGATCGTGGTCAAGAAGCTGATGTGCATGGGTAAGATGGTCTACAGATGGAAGAAACCCTTGAAAAGTTGACAGTGATCTATCACCAAACCGGTGATCATGTTGAGAGGGCCGCCCACATCACCTGACCAACATCTAGTCTGAAGAGATCACAAAATTTGCACTATCCGCAAAAAGAGAACTCTCAACAGCTTTCTTTTGCTCGTATTCATCATCATCATCATGTGTTGGAGTCGTCTTCTTCCTCCTCTCTTTTCTACTCCTCATCATCAGAGTCTTTTACCATCTCTTCCAATCTTTTATCATATCTTCCAGTTTACTGCTGCGTCTGAGGCAAGACAAAAATCACGCAGGAACGACGAAGTCGTCGTCGTCTCCAATTCCCATGGCTTTTTGTCCTCACCTGGAACGCGTGCTCTCGTCATCGCCGCGACTCCTCCTGTGGACGCCTCGGAGGCGTAACCGCCGTCGCTTATTTTACACCGCCTCGTTTCGTTGCTCATTATTCGCGTATTTAAATTTCAGTGGCTCTCAAATCGAACACGATGTGGGACCCAATGCATTCACCTGTAGTACACATAATGGGTCCCGCCGTACGCGTAAGATAATGTCCACTACGTGTACCGGACGTCCGAGGTGAAGTTCCAACCACCGATCAGATTCTCGCACGCCTCCTAAAGCAATGATGTGAGCTCCATATGAAATTTGATCCAAGTTTGGATAGATATGAGCACCGAGTTGTGGTACGAAGATCCAAAAATGGCATTCCACAAAGTAGGATGACACGACGCCAGCAGATGCATGTGAATGGTTGGGACCAAACGTTGGCAATAAATTATGTTGGCAAAAGGAATCCAACATGTCGTGTCTCACCCACAGTCCACTTTAATATCCGTGCCCAGACCGTTGACCATCTGCAGTCCCCTCTCGAGGGGACGCCCATCAAGGGTCACGTGCATGGTCGAGATCCTCCACCTTCCACCGACTGCAACGCTCCCAAGGGTTTCAAACCGGATGAGATGGCTGTCGACTTTGATTGGTCGTACGAGCCATCACGATGGATATGGTCTAACGCATCCTTTCTAAGTCCAACTAACTATCAAAAGTTTGAGCCGAATCATCAGGTATTCGATCTAAAAGTTCGATCCGTCGTCGTTCCTAAGGGATGGACAGATGCAGATATTTGAGATCGCGGTGGGAAGAAGCACAAGCGAGTTTACTTTGTCCAATTACATAGTAAAATACAAGAAATAATTTACATGCATGAGGAGAAAAGAATCGGTGAAAGCTTGGAATGATTATGATCGAGTATTACTATTTGGTCGCCGTAAAATTGGTATTGGACTGGTTGATGTCTTTGCTGCTGGTGGTGGCGTTGTTATCGTCCTCGTTAATGGTTCTACTGGCAGTGCTCCTGTTGTCGTGGTTGTCGCTTGCGGTCGCCGGATGATTCCCGTTGATGATCGACGATATGGCCGCCGCGAGCGCTGCGGTGAAGTTGGGGTCTGCTGTTATGGCCGCCGTAGCAGCGGTCACGGTGTCGGCCAGGGAGGGCGGAAGCGCCGCGTGCTCCTTCGGATGAGGGAACTCCGAAGCCTCCATCGCCGCAGACAACTGCAACCCTGAGAACCTTGACTGGTTGATATGAGTCTGGCCAGAGGCATTCGGCACCGGAAAGTAGCCGGCGGCGGCGGCGGCGGCGGGAAACGGGAACTGGAACTGGGCCGGTGCCGGTCTCTGCAGCTGCGTGGCGTCCGGGCGGTGAGTGAGGTCCAACATCACGGTCGGGAACGGAGCCGACGCCGATATGGTCGCCATGCTCGACGAGAAAGGCAGGACCGTCCTCGCCATGAAGCTGGGATTCATCAGCCCTTCCGGGCTGGACATCGACCCCGAGAGCAACATCGACACAGCGGCCGAAGTCGTCGACGCCATCGCCATGGCGGCCGGGGGGAGCGGGTGGTTGTGCGTGCCCTCGTACGTCGTCGTCAAGATGGAGCGGTCGTCAGCGCACCTCTGCACCTATCGGAGGGCAAAACAATGGATGATCAGCCGAAGGTTGACCTACGAACACGTGATCTGCGCTTCCTGCTCATTACCTGTTTGCGAACGGGGCAGCCGGCGGCCATGGTGCATCTGTAGTAAGCCCGGGGGCAGGGGTTCCCTTTCGCCATCTTCTGCCCGTACTTCCTCCATTGACATCCATCAGCGATCTAAGAAGACATCAACACAAGCAATCGAATCCGTTCATGTAAATTGATCGATACATACAGCAAGCCCTGCGTTTGTACTGAGATCTTAATTACCATGGGTGCATCAGAACGAGCTCGAACGGATACACGGGCTTTCCTCATGATGGCTTCATGAGCTTGCTCGGTGCTACTCGCTTCCCTGTTAGAGTTTGGGTGATCAGGTGGTGGGACAATCTCCTTGTCGGTGCTCCTCTTGCGTCGCTCGGAGTCCATAGATCTGACCCCGCCATTGTCCGGCGGGGGAGAAGGGCGGTCGCGGGTAGCCGTCGACGAGTGGGATGGTTCATCGGCATCCCCAGCTGGGCCGAGATCCATGAACTGTCTTGGCACGAGGACCTCTCCATGTTCATCGTTCTTGGCCTCGACTCTTCCATCAACAACCTGGAGGATCGATCGATCATCCGTCATCCATGGATCAATCAATTCCTTCGATTTATTCAGTTGTTAGTGTATGATCTATCTATTGCATCTTACATCGTGTTGCTGCCTCAGCGCGGTGAGATGCATCTGGAGGGCGTTGTAGTTGCTGATCGCTTGGTTCAGCATCTCCCTCAGCTTCTGGTTCTCCTCTTTCACGCGCGCCAGCTCGTCTCGCATGGCCGCCAGCTGAATCAAGCAGGTGCAGAGTGCAACCGGTATCAGACCAATTAATCGACAATCAAACGAATTCATGTCGGCAAAGATCTCCTTCTTCCGATCACCTCGCTCTTGCTCTCTTTGCGGTCGTCGGCCGGCAACACCGCGTCGTCCACCGTGGACAGGTCGCTGCGGGCGTTAGCGATCAGAAGGTTCAACCCGGCGATGGTGAGATCCTCCTTCTTGATGCAAGAACTCGGCACCTTTGGGCCGAGATCGGCCTCCACCCTGCCGACGGCCTTCCTCCTCTCAGCCGAGAAGAAATCCACCTCGTTCACTTCCATGCGACCGTCGCCGCCGCTCAGGGTACGACCGCCTTTGCCTAAGTAACTGAAGTCGAAGCAGAAGAAAGAGAAAGGCGGAAGTCTTACAACAGGTGGGATGGGGTGGACGAATAAAGAGGGAGAGAGAAGGGAGACGACACGGCCGTGGGCATCAGAGTGACATAAGATGATGCGTCAGGAAGGGGCAGGTGGAG